GAGATAAGGGGGTAGGAGTGGGCGTCGAAACAAGTTACGCAATTAAAAGATGAATTTTTATCTGTATGAAAAATTGACTGAAAAGTTACTGCAGGGGTTCTTTTGTTGTTGTCGGGCCTCACACTATAACATTAATGAAGGGTATAGTGCGAGTATGATGCTCAGTTTTACAAGGCAGCAATGTTTGCAAAATGTTGCAATTTAAGATATGATTGATACAAAATTAAAGTGTAGTTGCAAAAGTAGCTTAGTTTTGTTTTTTGTCTCCTTTGTGTCCCGTACTCTGTCAAATATTACACGAGGTAGTTCTAGAATTGAAGGTCAAGTTCTGCTATTAAAAGCTATGTTTTGATAATTATAGTTGGTTCAGATTGATTTGTAAGTCATAATTGAGATCATTGACCACTGGTTAGAGTTTCTGAACTGCTGTTTAAGGTTTATCTCTGATGTTCTGGTGTCTTACTTTGTGATATAACTGACCTGTAAATTGTTCAGATGCTTGTTAGATATAAAGCATTTCCACCCTAAAGTACTTTCCGACTTGTCGGTTGCTAATCATGTTACAGTAAAGCTTTTGTAAAAGTACTATGAGTTTCAGTGCTCATTGCTCTTATACCACTGATAATTTGAACTGTTACTAGATGGAAAGAGCAAGGATTTACTAACAATGAAACAAGATGAAGAGGAGTGGCTAGAATACCAGAAAGTCCTTGAAGATGTCACTAAAAGGAGTGGACTGAAGAAGAACATGTTTTATGATCTCCGAGGAAATCATGATGCTTTCGGTGTACCCGCCTTTGGGGGAAAATTTGATTTTTACTCAAAATATAGCATTAACGGGCAGCTAAAAAGAAGCGGACTGGTCAATAGTGTCACTATTCAGGTATCTGTTACCTTATTTTGTTGGATACACACTCTTTTTCTTAACCTTTCAAGCTGACAATAACCTTTCAAGTGAAACTAATTGGAAAGGAAAACCAAAGGAGTAGAAAAGAGGCTTGGGAATTTTCCAGAACAGGGAACAAGGTAGAGGGAAATTTTTTAACATTGGCAACGAGGAAGAGTGTAGAATCCATGTAGGGGATAAACATATCTCTGTATTCAATATTTTATGAATTCTATTTTGGTACTTGTCACAAGATTATATAAAGGAAAATCTTAACAATCAAAGAAATTCATGAATGCTATTATAAAGTTTGACCTAATCTTCTTTTATAATCTTTTGATTCCGTGTGTTAGAACTTTCTCCTTGTTAATGTAATCTTTCCAAACAAAACCACTATCGGTGTAATTATTATTATGTTATTAAGACACCCGTAGCCTTCAGAATGAAGGTGAATTATCACTGAACTTTCATATAGATCAGTCAGCTAAGCATCGATTGCAAACTTCACAAACTATATGATGCCGTAATTTGAGTTTTTTCACTTAATATCTCATACTGTCTGCTTCAACCTCTTACGATGACTATTTACTCTTATGATCCAGACTGGTGAACGCAATATTCTGTTCGTTGGATTTGACAGCGCTATGTCTTTAGGTCTTCGGGGACCAACCAATCTATTTGGTCATCCCACTGATCAACTATTAGATGATTTAAGCTCTGAGCTCTCGGTACTAGATTCTCAACCCGCAAAATCTGTTATCAAGATTGCTTATGGGCATTTCCCACTTTCATTTTCTGCAGCATCACGTTCTGGAAGAACCCTGAAGCATACATTTCTGACGCATAACTTGTCAGCTTACTTATGTGGGCATCTGCATACAAAGTTTGGTAAGAATTTAAAGCGGCGTCATGAGTCAAATCAACATCCCTTTTACTCTCACAATCTTTTCCAGTTGAATGGACATGGATCGCATCTGGGTAATTCGAAAACTTGTTCAGATGGGGCAACTGAATTTAAAGAGTTCTGGGAGTGGGAAATGGGTGACTGGAGAAAAAGTAGAGCAATGCGCATATTGGCCATCGATAGAGGGTGGACGTCTTTTGTTGATGTTGACTTAAGATTGGGAGCTAAGAATGTTATTATATTGCCAACATTTCCTCTGGACTCTCGCTTTACTTTGGAGAGATCGTTTCACAAATGCAAGATGGATCCTTTATACTTCAACAGTATTAGAGCTCTTGTATTTTCTTCTTCGCCGATTGTGTCAGTCGTGGCTAGGATCTACGACTCAAGTCCTGGAAGTCTTGTTATAGTGTTGGAGACTCCTATGAAAAAAAGTGGGGATGCTTCATCTAGGGCGGACCTTTATACATGTCCCTGGAACTTTAAAGCATTCGAAGATCCATCTCCCGATAGATTTTTGTTGCAAATAGAAGCAGTTGATATTAGAGGCAGATCAACTTTGACTGAACTAAGGCCATTCTCTGTTGACGGTCTTCGTGCTAGGCTTTCATGGAATTGGAAAGAGTTCATGGTTATGGGTTGTCAGTGGGAGGCTTTATATTACCCCATATTATGGTCCTTTTATTTGTTAACTCTTTCCGTCCTTCTCGTTCCAAAAGCTATCTTTTTATTTTCTAAGAAGCAGTATACTTACAAGAATTTCATTAGTAATAAAGGAGTGGTGAGTTGTGTTGCGTGGATTCTATCAGAGCTATATAATATTCCACTAGCTTGGCTCTCAATGATTGTTTACTTGTTTTACCTCATTTTATGTCCTTGGCTTTCTGGCCAAGTTTTCACCGAAGGAGGAGAAAGAGGATACATGACCTACAGGGGTTGGGTGCTGAGATTGAACGAGAGGGAAAAGCTAGACTTTCACGGATATCCAGATATAATGGTGATCATTTTTCCCCATCTTTACTTTGTGGTGTTGCCTACAGTAATTGTAATTGGGGCGTTGGTGGCTGAGAGAGCAATATTCCAAGATCATCTTCGAGCTGTTTCTGCAAAAAAGGAAGATGATTATTTGGTGACGAATAAGGTATCTGCATCTACTAATGGTAGAAATAAGACGCTGACACTCCTCCATAGGCGCTGGATTAGGAAAATACTTTTGTTAATTTCTTCAGCAATTTGTTGGAAGCATTTTTTGGTAAGTTTTCAACTGTTCAATTTGATGTCCATCTTTATTCTGATTTAATGTGCCTTTTTCTTACTCAAAATGTTTATTTTCCTTAAAACACTGGAGAGTTGTTTCCTTTCCAAGTTCCCACCGTTAAGGCTGCACCATCTTTTGGGAACTCATTTGAAATCACTTATATCCTTCAGATAAACTAGTCAGTTCTTTTCCAAATTATGGAAAGTACTTTCACAAAGATAAGAGGAATGGTCAATATCCTTCGTATTCTTCTTGTTTAGTTATTCATTTTTATGTTAAACAAACATGATCAACAGAAGAGGATAAAGGTTGTTTAAAATATCCTGTTTCCAGAATTTTACATTCTGCCAATGTTTTTTTCAACGAAAACTCTCACCACCATCACATAGTTTAGGACTTTCTGTCAGATATCCTCTTACTTTTGTTTATGTGGAATACGCAACCTCGTGATTGTTCCAACTAAGTGGCAATAGCTTCAATTTGTTTCCAGTGAACATAGATAACGATACTTTTAGAGCATTGCAGGATAATGTGTTTCAAGGAGATGTTTCAATTCTAAGTTTTCCTTGCTTTACCTTGCTCATAATTGTTCACTAATTCAACAATCGACTTCTTGCTAATTTTGTTCTTTTACGATGCAGAACTGCAGAGCTCTGATCAAAGCTTATGCAATGAACCCATTAATCCATTTCCCAATATATAGCATGTCGATTCCTCTCTTTTTGGCCTATACTATCTACAAAACCAGCAGAGCTGAGTAGAATTTTTGGAAGTGAACTACATGTAAAGCCATAAGTTTAATGCAGAAGCCTGTGAAACATACACCGGCTTATTAGTAAAGAAGGCGTCAACAGATTGCAGCTCTCTTTAGTATCTAAAGCATCTCATGAGGGGCAATATGAAAGCTTCAAATTCCAGTTGATAGAATAGTGGAAGCATAGAATGTTCTTTGTTATAGACATGGAAATGCTGGTTACTAGAATTCAGTCTTTATGTAGTTTTACAGTTTTGTTGAAAATGCAGCATCGTGTTTGCAGCAATGTAGAACTTCAGATCCATGTAAAAGTATTATACATCATATGGGCTAATTGAGGAAGTTAACAAGCAGCAAAAGAGAAGGTTAGTGATTGTTGAATAGATTGCTGGCTAAAGCTTCCTATTTTATTCATTGCACATCTTGAAATGCACCAATCAGAAGAACAGAGACAATGCAAAGTAAGATGAACCAATGAGAATGACTGGAAGCTTTGTTCTCCCTTCCTCTTTTCTTCTGTTTAGTATAACCATGTGGTATCCGAAGCCAACTACTCCGGATTCAGCGTAAGGGAGGATCGCCCTCCCAATTCGAAGTTTTTTCCTGGAAGTTTCAACCTTGTTGACTATGACAGCAGTCACGACTATAAACAGACTCGTGACTATGGCAGGTCCATGGTTGTATTTCTGCAGGGGAGCCCTCTGCATTTCCTGTTAGTGTGAGAAAGTCAGGTCGAGATCTAGTTCTATTTATCAATCAGAGTTAGAAAGCTAGCTTTAAGCAGGCCAGTCTAAGTTTGACTTTGCCGCTGGCATTCCAGGGACCGGCATCTTTTGAGCATGTTTAGCTTCCAAAATTCCTGGAGTCCTACGCTACATCATTATCACTATATGACTAGTAAATAATTATTTTATTATTATAGAAAACGATCAATTTTTTTTATCTTGGCTTTTCTTTTTTCCTCTTTTCTTCTTCCTTATAGTATAACCATCCAGTATCGAAGCTAACATGGTCGACTAATTTAGATTCAGATCAGATAATCCACTGAGACAAGAAAAAAGCACTCTTTACCATTAGGTTTTCTATTAGAGGTACCAAAACCTCGGGAAGATCACAACCTCTGCACCACAAGCCTAGGTGTTCTCCTTCCTCTTTTCACTTATTTCCTTATATAAATAAAATCTAGCCTTTGGAAACTTTCCCTAAAATATAGAACAATGCAAACAATTGAGAGTGCAATATAGTAAATGAAACAGATCGATTTTATGGTGCATTTGCAAAAGTTCTTTTAGTTATATGATTATGTTCACATGATTGGTAAAATAAAGCACAAGAAATCTTTGTGAGGTTCACTTTCGTCTAGAATTATAACTCGTCATAAGAGATTATTTCCTAGAGTTACTAGCATTTATGTAAGTCACGTGCATTGGGAGGAAATCAATTATTCACTCCGTCTCATTGTGTTTGTTTGGACATAAAATTTAAGAAAGAAAAACTTTTAAAACTGTGATATTAGACATGTCGTAAGTATTATTGTGACTATAAAATCAAGTCATTATGGGTGAACAGAGAAGTTTAACGTTACTGTTTTAAGAAATTATGGTGGATGTCTATCTTCCTCCATGATCTTCCTCTCAAATGCTTAATGACATATTCAATGACATATTTCTTCATTTTTCATGCCTATATCTTGGCATTGTAATAGATATAAAGAACACACAATTGAAGAAGAAATTATAATCTCTCATCTCTTTCTCTCTATATCTCTTAGCTTATTTTTTCTAGTTCTATATTATTACTTTGAGCTATATTTCATAACACGTTATCAGCACGAGACTCTACCGTCTCAAGAAGCTCTTTGAGAAGACTAATGTATAATTTTTCTCCTCTTTTAATTATGACTGATATTATAAAAAAAAAGTCTGTTGCGCTTGAAATTTCGGGCTAGAACTATATGACATGGGTGTTGGATGCTGAAATCTATTTAGATACAATGGGTCTTGGAGACACCATTAAAGATATAAATAAAGCATCTACCCAAGACTGTGCTAAGGCCTCGATTTTCTTGTGCCATCACCTTGATGAAGGTTGAAAATAGAATATCTCACAGTCAAAGATCTACTTGTTTTGTGGAATGGCTTAAAGGAAAGATATGACAACATAAAATTGGTCACTCTTCCACAAGCACGATATAATTGGGCTCATCTAAGGCTCCAAGACTTTAAGTCTGTTTCTGAATATAATTCTGCGATGTTCAGAATTACTTCTAAATTAAAACTATGTGGAGATAGTATCAGTGACTATGATATGCTTGAAAAAATGTTCACAATATTTTATGCCTCCAATATGGTCTTGCAACAGCAGTACCGAGAGAAAGGTTTCAAGAAGTACTCTAAGTTGATTTCTCTTCTCCTAGTGGCTGAACGAAACAACAACTTGCTTATGAGAAATCACGAAAATCGATCCACTAGGTCTACACCATTGCCTAAAGTGGATGAGGTGTATTCCCATTATGCTAAGCGTGGAAAAGGTCGTGACCCTGGTCGTGGCCGTGGTTAAGGAAGAAAATTTTCAAGTGTTAATCATTCTCCAAAGAAAAATAACTTCCAAAAGTGGAAAGGGAAAGATGAGAAGCCAAAGGCAAAGGGTTCAGAAACTAAATGCTATCGTTGCGGTGGAAAAGGGCATTGGGCAAATATTCGTCGCATACCAAAATATTTGGTCAAGCTTTATCAAGCATCTCTAAAGAATAAAGGCCCTGAAGCTAATTTTGTCTATGACAATGAATTTGACATCACCCAATTGGATGTGGCAAATTTCTTTGAGCACCCTGATGGAAAAATAAACCACTTGATCGGTGATGGATTCGTGGTTAAAGATGATTGAGTAGTTAGATTTTTATTTTTGCCTATTCGTAGAGCTAATGAATAAACATTATGTAATTTTTATTGCGCTTAATAATACTGCTTATGTAGTTCTTAAAAATATATGTATTTCCGAAGAAATTATTTTTTTTAAAGATTCAATGTTTAACAAATCTTACAAATGAGGGGTAATATCTAATTAATTAGTACCTAGTCTAAGTGATCTTTTAACACTTTTGATTTTCCTTTCTGTTACTTTAATTCTCTTTAAAAAAAAGTTTACAAGCACCCTGGAACAACTTTTGTTACTTGACCCTCAATTCCCATCTTCCTTTTTAAAAAAAAAATCTAGTACATCGGGACCTCAATTTTTTCATGTACATGGATAAAATATTAGGAATAAAGAAAAGAGAAGCAGCTAAGTATGTTCTTTTTTTACACAGATCAATTATTTTTCATGCAATGTGTAAGAAAATATAAATAACTTATACATGTAAATAATTTTGTTGTAGTTATATTAGTCATATGTGTAATGTACTTATAATTGTATTATTTTTGCTACGTAATTATTTGTATCATAATTAGAATTTACTCAAAATTGCATTAAAAAGTCACTATTGAATCATTGGTTTAACTTTTTTTTTTTTCTTTTCTCTAAAAATACTAATATTTATTCATATACTTGTTTTTTGTATGTCAACCCATGGGAAACAAATATGGATATCTCTCAAAGCAAACTTGGATCAAAGTTTAATTGTAAAAATATTTGCTTAATTGATTCATGTACGACACATACAATATTCAAAGAGAAGAAATATTTCTCTCATTTAAGTATGTGTAAGGCAGATGTTACTACAATTTTTGGTAGTAGTTGTAACGACCCGACCGGTCATTTTGAATATTATAACCTCATTTCTCCATTTACTGCTCAATTTATGCCTTGTTATTGATTTATGACTTATCAGGTTAGTTGGTTAGGGTCCGGAAGAAATTCGGAGTGAAATGAGACACTTAGTCTCATAATTAAAAAAAATTAAGTTAAAAAAGTGGACCGGATATGGACCTATGTGTAAACGACCTCAGATTCAAATTCTGATAATTCCAATAGCTCCGTATGGTGACTTTGGACTTGGGAGCGTGTCCGAAAATTTTTTTGGAGGTCCGGAGAGAAATTAGACTTGAAATGCCGAAAGTTAAATTTTTAGGAAGTTTGACCGAGGGGTTGACTTTTTTATATCGGGGTCAAAATCCGATTCTGAAAATTTTAATAGGTATGTTATGTCATTTATGACTTGTATGCAAAATTTGAGGTCAATCGGACGTGATTTGATAGGTTTCAGCGTTATTTGTAAAAATTAGAAATTTCAAAGTTCAATAGGCTTGAATTTGGGCGTAATTCATGGTTTTAGCGTTGTTTGAGGTGATTTGAGGATTCGACTAAGTTCGTATGATGTTTTAGGACTCGTTGGTATATTTGGTTGAGGTCCCGAGGGCCTCAGGTAAGTTTCAGATGGTTAACAGATCAAAAATTGAACTACAACAGCTGCTGCAATTTCCTTATGTTGAAAATTTTTTCTGCCAGATTCGAGCCTAGAAATCTCTCAGAATCGAGTCCAGAAATCGATCCCAGATGTGAGCCTAGATCGAGCCCAGGGTCAAGGGCCATGATCGAAGCCATGATCGAGCCCAGGGTCGAGGACCACGATCGAAGCCATGATCGAGCCTAGGGTCGAGGGTCACAGTCGAAGGCAGGGTCGAAGACATGATCGAAGGCCAGGGTCGAGGGCCATGATCGAGGATCAGGATCGAAGCCACGATCGAGGCCTAGGATCGAGGGTCAGGATCGAGTCCCAGGATCGAGGACCTCGATCGAAGGCCAAGATCGAGGCAGAACCGAGGTTGTCTGGGAAGAATTATAAAATAGGGACTTCGTCCTATTCGCCATTTTTGACAAATTGGAGCTTGAGGAGAGGCGATTTTTGATATATTTTCAAGAAAAACTTTAGGTAAGTTCCTTGTGATCATTTCTACTCCATAATATTGAATTATTATCGAATAATCCGACTAGATTACCTCATTTTGAGGTGTAAATCGGAGATTGGAACTTAGAAATTTGGAAATAAGATTTGTAGATTTGAGGGTTGAGTTGAGGTCGGATTTTGGTAAAATTGATATGGGTAAACTCGTGGTTGAATCGGCTTTCGGATTTTGTAACTTTTGTCGGGTACCGAGACATAGGCCCCACGAGCGATTTTTGAGCTAAATTTCGAATTTTTATGAAAAATTAGTATTTTCTTATGAAATTAATTTCAATAAATTTTATTGACTGAAACGAATTATTTTTTACTAGATTCGAGGCATTCGGAGGCCGATTTGCGAGGCAAAGGCATAGCAGTTTTAAATCTGGTCCTGAGGGTATAAAACCCCGGATTTTGGTATCATGTGATTATTTTGGAGGTGACGCACATGCTAGGTGACAGGCGTNAAGCAGATTCTAGATATAGTTGAGCCGACAGGATCAACTCAGGCACCAACTGTGCCCATTGAG